TTTTTATGAATTTATTTGCAAATTATGGTGGAAAATAAGTATTTGGTCACCTACAAACAAGCAAGATTTCTGGCTCTCACAGACCTGTAACTTCTTCTTTAAGAGGCTCCTCTGTCCTCCACTCGTTACCTGTATTAATGGCACCTGTTTGAACATGTTATCAGTATAAAAGACACCTGGTCTAAGGCACTGCATCGCAGTGCTAGCTGTGCCACTAGAGATCCTGGTTCGAATGCAGGCTCTGTCGCAGCCGGCCGCGACCGGGAGACTCATGGGCAGCGCACAATTGGCCTAGCGTTGTCCAGGGTAGGGGAGGGAATGGCCGGCAGGGATGTAGCTCAGTTGATAGAGCATGGCGTTTGCATCGCCAGGGTTGTGGGTTCAATTCCCATGGGGGACCAGTATGAAAAAAAAAATATATATATATATATGTATTCACTAACTGAAAGTCGCTCTGGATAAGAGCGTCTGCTAAATGACTAAAATTTTAAAAAATGTAATGTCCACAACCTCAAACAGACACACTCCAAACTCCACTATGGCCAAGACCAAAGAGCTGTCAAAGGACACCAGAAACAAAATTGTAGACCTGCACCAGGCTGGGAAGACTGAATCTGCAATAGGTAAGCAGCTTGGTTTGAAGAAATCAACTGTGGGAGCAATTATTAGGAAATGGAAGACATACAAGACCACTGATAATCTCCCTTGATCTGGGGCTCCACGCAAGATCTCACCCCGTGGGGTCAAAATGATCACAAGAACGGTGAGCAAAAATCCCAGAACCACACAGGGGGACCTAGTGAATGACCTGCAGAGAGTTGGGACCAAAGTAACAAAGCCTACCATCAGTAACACACTACGCCGCCAGGGACTCAAATCCTGCAGTGCCAGACGTGTCCCCCTGCTTAAGCCAGTACATGTCCAGGCCCGTCTGAAGTTTGCTAGAGTGCATTTGGATGATCCAGAAGAGGATTGGGAGAATGTCATATGGTCAGATGAAACCAAAATATAACTTTTTGGTCAAAACTCAACTCGTCGTGTTTGGAGGACAAAGAATGCTGAGTTGCATCCAAAGAACACCATACCTACTGTGAAGAATGGGGGTGGAAACCATGCTTTGGGGCTGTTTTTCTGCAAAGGGACCAGGACGACTGATCCGTGTAAAGGAAAGAATGAATGGGGCCATGTATCGTGAGATTTTGAGTGAAAACCTCCTTCCATCAGCAAGGGCATTGAAGATGAAACGTGGCTGGGTCTTTCAGCATGACAATGATCCCAAACACACCATCCGGGCAACGAAGGAGTGGCTTCGTAAGAAGCATTTCAAGGTCCTGGAGTGGCCTAGCCAGTCTCCAGATCTCAACCCCATAGAAAATCTTTGGAGGGAGTTGAAAGTCCGTGTTGCCCAGCGACAGCCCCAAAACATCACTGCTCTAGAGGAGATCTGCATGGAGGAATGGGCCAAAATACCAGCAGCAGTGTGTGAAAACCTTGTGAAGACTTACAGAAAACGTTTGACCTGTGTCATTGCCAACAAAGGGTATATAACAAAGTATTGAGAAACTTTTGTAATTGATCAAATACTTATTTTCCACCATAATTTGCAAATAAATTCATTAAAAATCCTACAATGTGATTTTCTGGGGAAAAAAATCTCATTTCGTCTGTCATAGTTGACGTGTACCTATGATGAAAATTACAGGCCTCTCTCATCTTTTTAAGTGGGAGAACTTGCACATTTGGTGGCTGACTAAATACTTTTTTTCCCCACTGCAACTATGGGGCCATTTGACTGGGGAGTAAATCTCTGAGTGGGGAGACCCCAAAGGTTTGTTTGAATACCACCTAGGAGTTCAATTTAGGGTCACAGACTGTAAACTCATTCAGCTGAACTTGGTATGACCACCAGAAGTGGAACGTGAGAGCGCTGGTTGACATGTGGTTATCATAATGTTCTTAATTTTTATACCACATTCTGCATATGATCATTTCTTAAAATATGACAACATTTGGTTTATATAATAATGTATATACCCATGAATAGAGTTGTGTTAGTTACAAATAAGTAGGTCTATGTTTCATTTGTAAATCACAAAATGTCATGCAAAATCTATGTAAATTGCATAATTTAATGTCAACTTCAAGATTTATAAATCACTCTACCCATGTTTCCAGCCACAGTTTTTAAAATTATACCGTATAATTTTTTTTATGACAGCTGTGATGGAAACAGAAAGTTTCCGTACCATTTTATAAATGCCGACAGATAATTTGTTCGTTCGACATGGTGGGATCTTTTAGTAACCGTAAAATTAATTATGCGAGAAATGGCAGTGGAAACTCCTTTATGCACAAATATTGATATAATAACCAACATCTCGAAGTAAACTTGGAGTCACGCGATGACATGATGTGTAGTCCTCCCACTACGACTCGGGAAACCACAGAGTTTATTAAGCTACAGATTAAATAAATTATGATGAACTTCACAGGGTGGTGAAAGTGCACGGTATCAGCTTGATGCACCTTTCCAATAAATATCGAGAGTCTTATTCTGGTGACATGATGATCGATGCTTGACTGCCATTTAGTAAATAAAAATATTATTGCTCTTATCCATAATAATCTCATCATGTAGGCTATTGTAGACTAACCTACCCGCAGAGTTTACCCGCACTGTATCTGCGAGCTGTTGGCTAGACCAGACTGGGCACATTTGCTATTTAACACAACAGTTTTTGTGACAAAACTATCAGTAGAGTTGAAACTGCAATGGAAACACATTGAACATTAGATTTGTATTTGGTACATGAAAACTTAAGCGAAAAAGTACATTTTGGGTGCACTATGTCATCAGGCACTGATTTTCCTCCGCAATAAGGCGCTTGGACTCTAATTTTTACCGTTACAAAATGTCATGTCACTTTCTAACACAATGGAAGCAGAGTGGATTTATACAGGTTCTGCGCATATGTTAGGATTGTTAGGCTATATATCGAAGTGGTTTATGATAAAGTCTACACTTCAGGCACTGTCAAGATCTGATCATCTGTCCAGACTTAGACAAACACTGAACTGCAAATCCTGTTGGATTTGACATCTTAAGACGCCAGTCAGTTAGGGTTGAGGGAGGTTTGAGGTCAACAGGCTCTTGACTTGACCTTGATGTGACCACAACACAACCCTTTTCTGACCCCAACAAGACCACTTCAAATCTGCAGTCTTTCAAAGGTCAGTGACAGTCAGACCTCAACTTTCAACCCCAAATATTTTGGTTGATAAGAGGCGGGTTAGAAGTTCATGCAAGACATTTGGACCCCATCTTTGTTTACTTTTGTATTTTTCAACATCAACCCGCTTTGGAGCCTTTGTTATGCACTCAGGACCTCAAGTTAATGTACAGTTTCAATGATAACATGATAAGCCGCTAGTTTTGGGGTTGGGGGGGGTCGTTGGCAGGCCAAAACGAAGGCAGGCCAAAACTGGACTGACAGCGATAGCCCTGCTAAGGCAGCCCTACCAAGGCAGCCCTCCTAACCCTCTGTTAGCCTGTATTTTGAGGGCAATAAAAACCTGGTTCTCCTGTTCAACTTCAGCTACCATCTCCTCATTCTTTTAGGTAGCTAGCTAGCTAAGGAATGGACCCGTTTACGCTAAAATATTATACATGTTAACAGGGAATGCTTGATGATTGTACTTGATGTTCCGTTTCTTGGGGTCAAGTGGCACGAGTTTTTAATAAACACTTGACGTAGTTGTAAACATCTAGATTCCAGGTAACCTAGAAAATCTGAGGTTTTATAGGTCACACACTTATTTTCCCAAACTCTGAAATGAGCAGCCAGATAATGTTATGTATGAGTAGGTGCAAAATATTTTAGTGTAGAATAGGTTGATTTCATGGATTGCAATGTATTCAGGTTGGTAGATGTTGAAAGACATTATATCAAAGGAGGTTAACTCCTTTCACTAAAGGAGTTCTTTGTGTGCAAAGGATGAACCTGGAATTGGAGCCAGTAGGATTATCAGGTAAACTGCTGGTCTATGGAATGTCACTTTGTTATCATATGCCAGTGTCAGGAAGCGAAATTGGGTCAATGAATACAATATTTATATTCACGCTAAATGATCCTTGATTGGAGATAGTCCGAATAGACCTGCCACCATGAGTCAACAAAGCAGGCCAAAAGCCTACGGTTACGGTCTGCAAGGTATTCGGCTAAATAGTCTAATTAGAGAATCTCACATTTCACAAACTAATACCATCTACAGTACAAACAAAAGTCAGCCATTTTACTCCAGGTCATTGGCAATGAATGGGATGGGAGAGGCTAACATGCTTGAGACATCCTCGATTGTCTCATTAAATCATGTTGGGGATAATGTACCGGGAGATACTGTAAATTAGTTAAAAAGGGATTGCTCCAAAAGTAGCACAATGCTTTGCAGACAAGGTTAATTTACTTAGAATACAACAAATGTAAAGGTCCCTGAGTTAGGTTACATTAGAAGACAGTGTAGGCCTAATAGGTCAGACAAGGTGCTCTTCCAAATGTTGAAAGAGCACCTTCCAACTGTCCCATACTGTACATAATAAAATAATACATTTTTACAAATCTGCCTTTTTGGTTATAAAATGGATAATATAAAAATCGAATGTACTTGTTCAATATGATTAGAATGAGCCTGTAATTATAGGCTGATAATGTAGTACTTTATTTGTATATCCTACTAATGTAATGGTTGCGAACTTAAATTATGTAAATCATCGTCCACCTTAAGCATAAACAAATGATTAAAAGTAAAGTAAACAATATGCCAAATTCTGTTTACTAAAGAAAAAAACATACGTGCCATAAATGCCATGGGAATGTCCGTTTTGGCCAATCGTATCTTCGGGGTTTACCTTTGAGATGCACTGTCCCCTCCTAGTGCACTTACGCATATAAACCCACTTCTCCTAGACAACTCTCAGAAAACTTTGGAAAGGAACTTTCACCATGCTCGACTCGTTGACATTTATCGTCGAGAAGCTATGCCTTCTGTCCAACTTCAAACTTTTTGAGTTTAAATTGACTGATGGGAAACGCAAAGAGTCGGGATGCCAAGAGCGAAAGACGCATAGTCACGCGCCGTTGACTCTCCAGAGAGGGGACCTTTTGGAGGTGCCGAGAACTTTGTTCACGCACTTCGGTATCTACTTGGGTGACAACAAAGTCGCGCACCTGATCCCAGATATCATGCCCGTGCTAACCAATGATAAGATGATCATCAAAAAAGTTATCACAAATAAGAGACTCATCATGGGTTGCCTGTACAAGTGTGCCACGGTACGCGTGGACAACTTGGAGGACTTTGTGTATGGCTCAAACATATTGGTGAATCATATGGATAGAAAATGCAATGCGCAACAACCGTTCCCAAATGAAGAGGTTGCAGAAAGGGCAGAACAACTCGTCGGCACCATCCCTTACAGTTTACTATGGAATAACTGTGAACATTTTGTTACATACTGCAGATACGGTGCAGCGAAAAGTCAGCAAACGGAAATGGTAATTTTATTTTCCTTGCATTATTTATTTATTTATTTTCAATACAATTAAGTTGTGCATAATTCTGACCCCTTAACTTTTACGCTACTGGAGATACTGTAAATGTAGTGTCTTCTTAAAATATTTTGCCTATGCATGACCTGTATCACAGTGAGGACTGTTATCTTTAGATTATGGCATAGATAATGTTTTCAGAGATTTGCATTTAGATTTGGTTAGACCTGGTTGTATTACTTATTGGGCACAGCATCTCCAACCTTTGATATTTCCAATCCCATATTTTGCATTTATATTCATGATAATGCATCTCCATTTTAAATTATATTATGTCATGGTTAATATAATAGGCAACTATATTAAGAAACATTGTGTTTTATTCAGTGTTACTGAAAATACATTTATTTGGGCTTTGGTTTGTTGTTTTGGTGTTGTTGTATCCAAGGTCTTCTTCTCTCTTTTCTTCCATAATTCATAAAAGTTTCGATTTAAAACATAAAGAAATTAAATATGCCTAAAATGAATTGTTCATAAAAGTCCTGTGTATTATTTATCTCCTTTCTCTGCAGTTTTGTGAGTGCCTGAAATCAATCATCCGAGACCAGAGGAGTGTCTTTCTCAGCGTTCTTCTGGGAATGATCTACATCGTCTGCTTTGGCCTGGCGGCTTCAACTACGTTACCCACAATCCTCATCCCCTTCACTCTGTGGATGGCCGGCTGAGTGGCCAAAGTTCAAAGCCTTCAAACAATCCTATGGACATTTCAATAGAAACTATTTGGGATGGTGTCTTTTCATTGGTCCTTATGATGACATTACTTGGCACCTCCCAACTCATATGCCTTTGGTATAGGCCTATAGTGGCATATCATATAATAGGCCATTGTTACAGCAAGCGCTACCATTCATTCACTTTTGATTTGATACTTGCCAGCCAAAAGTAAACAGAGGGCGATGTAGTTGTAGGCCTAGCAATTTACATTTTAGTGTTCATGTCAACACTTACTGTATTGTATGTAGGCCATTAAGGCATTATAAAGGCCATATGATCCCTCTGTGACCAAAGTATCATCCCTATTTCCCCCCAAAAGATTGGCTAAGGCACGTTTTCTACTTTTTATCTTACTGTGTAAGTCATTGTAGTCTAATCTGTAAATAATTCAATTTCTTCAATGATGATACTCTTGTATAATTTGTATATATATACATTCAGTTTGAAACTCTAAGAGTACTACGCTGATTAATACAATACTTTTACCTATGTGTTTTGAGAGCAGATCATTTCATTTCGTACAAATACATTGTAAATATCAGAAATGTTAATAAAGATATTGGAAGTTATCATTTGGTTTGTTTTGGTCTGGTTCCAGAAAATATGTAAATAATTGACGTTTGAAGTATTTTCCAACATGTTTCAATACCGTTAGGTACATGCAATCACAGTGCATCTTAATACTCACAATGCATCTCTATCAATACCACCCACAGCATTTTCAAATGATCATGTTATTGATATAATATTGACCACATAAAATCCCCAATATATCCCCATAGTATTTCAAATCCCCAATATTTAATCATATTAAGTCAATTTACGTAAAAGCTACATTTTCTGGATAATATTGCTGAGTAATGACTATGCATTATTATTTTCTTTCTACTGTACCGTATTCACAATTTTAGACATATCAAGAGTGAGTCAGCATTATTAACTCACCGTCTGTTTATTCAGGCTATAACATTTTTATGACCTTTTAAACTGGGGGTTTGTTTTTCTGATTTGCCAATGAAAGCCGCATAACTGGAACACTTTCCCTGATTAAATCCTCGGTTGTGAAATTAAGCCGCCCTCGAAACCACGCGATTAGCGGAAAGCTCCTTTATTTCTGTCAAAATTGCACTGCAAAGTTGAGAAACCTCTAATCCCACGCGCTTGGCTCCTCCCAGACCCTTAGCCTTGATAAAACGGCCAGGTGTCAAACCGTTGGATATAGTTCTGCCACCATGATTCCCTTCCTCCAACTCCTCAGCCTCCTCTTCATCTCTTCTAAAGTGGATGAAGAGGACAAAGACTCTAAGTATGACCTGTCCTTGTACAAACGTGGCGACCTTTTGGAGGTTCCTAGAACTCTCTTCACCCATTTCGGCATCTACCTGGGCAACAACCGGGTGGCCCACTTCATCCCGGACATCCTTCCAGTCTTCACCAAGAACAAGGCAGCCATCGGCAAGATGGTGACCAACAACCGGCTGATTCTAGGGGTGATCGCCAAGTCGGCGAGCGTCAGGGTGGACTCATTGGCGGATTTTGCGTATGGCTCTGAGATCCTGGTCAACCACATGGACAAGCTGTGCAGCCAGCCCCCCCTGGAGGGGGACGAGGTGGCCAGGAGGGCAGAGAAGCTCATGGGCCCCATGACCTACAGCTTGCTGTGGTACAACTGTGAACACTACGTCATGTACTGCCGCTATGGCATGGCCATCAGCTACCAGACATACCAGGTGGAGTATGGGGTTCTCTCCTTTGTCAGAGGGCACTGTTCTTACACGTTTTGGGGGTAGGATGTGATTGCAAAATCTATGGTGATTTCACGGACGACTAAGATCAGTCACTGCAAACTTCTCAGAGCGACATCATCACGTGACCCCCAGGGCACTTGAAATCAAGCAAAGGAGTGTGTCACTTTAGACAATAGGGTTTCCCAAACCTCCCCTCAACAGTCAGTCCACTGATTTGACCTATCCCAGTTTTAGCACACCTGATTCACCCTGTCAATCATCAAACCCTTTAATAGTTGTGTGCTAGACTCCTGGAATAGATCAGTGGAATGGCTGGAGTTACTCAAGAAAACAATGCTTTAGTTGAGACTGAAGGAATAACATTGTAGACCATGAGCCAATAGTACTATACACTGTAGTACTTGGTGTTACATAATGCTCAGGGCAACGAACCAATGGCGGGAGGAGTTACTGCTGGTTCAAATTACGGTCAGACAAACTTTTTGTAATACTGTTCATTTATTATTGAGTGAAGAACTTACTGAGACATATTAAAGTGAATAGCTACCGATAAATACGCGCGGGGGAAGCAAAAACTACAAAAACTTGTTCTTAAATGACTTACATTAGTATATAGCTTTCCTGTTAGAGCATTAGGCTACACATTAAACATTTATTGGAAGGAATCAGCTTTACCTCAGAGCATATAGTCTCTCCAACCTTTCTGAAATGCCCCTTTTGGTACATGTGATTGTAACCACAGAAATGTCTCTATTTATCCAGTCACCTATGTCTTAGGATCAAAACGTCACACGTGAGGGATATTTTCTGAAAGAAAATAGTGTTGGCACTTGGTTTGTGTGGGAAATATGCCAGATATTTCAATGGATTTGATGGAACAAAACACAGATTATGGGACTATAAAGTGTTGTCGTTAAATTGACCTGTCACCTCACGTGCCAAATCGGAACATAGGTAAAAGGAAAATGCATAAGACGAAACCTTTCTTCAACCGTCAGATATGTTTTGGTCTTCCAAGTAAAAGTGCTGTTTCATGCTGACATCGACTGACTGTGTTGGAAACTATGGTGAAATAACGGCTTAGTTGCTCAACTCCTTTGGTTTGAGAATGGATTTACAACGTCTCTCGTTTATATCAGCCTATGTTGGAGTAGTTCAGCTGGTAGAGCACGGCGCTTGTAACGCCAGGGTAGTGGGTTCGATCCCCGGGACCACCCATACACAAAAATGTATGCACGTATGACTGTAAGTCGCTTTGGATAAAAGTGTCTGCTAAGTGGCATATTATATTATATTACTTAGTTCAGAAACTAAGCTCAGATGACGGCAGTTGGCATACACCAGATGTGGCTAATTTGTTCCAGCCCAGCAGTAAAACGCCTGGTTCAAATGATCAACGGATCATGATTAATGGACATCCTCCTCAAAATCTCTAAAGCATAATAAGTGAGTGTCATCAGGCTCCATATTTATAAAGCGTCCCAGACGGAACCCTGCATTATCATCTAAAAGTCAAAGCTGGTGATAGATCAGCACACCTAAGCCCTGGTCTGAGTTCAGAAGGGCACATTGTTGTGGAACGCTTAGAAATATATCGGGTAGAACAGACATGCAACCTCTCTGGCATGTAAGTAAGGAATCGGGCAAGCTCTAATCATGGCATTTCTATCTGAACACAACACAGGTGTGCTGGTACCAACGTCGAATCTACACATGCTGTGGTCACCCCTAGCACAGACAATAGCCAATCAATGTGGGAATACTGCACACTGATGCAAAGTACTGTATGATGAGAGCGGTTAAAAGGCTGTACATTTCTCTGAAAAGGTCGGATGATTCTGTGTTGCGGTGGATTGAATGCTTTTAGGCCAATGAAAAGTGAACTCAAAGGCTGCTTCCCGATTCTCTACCCTTCTCCAAAAGTGTGCACTTGCACACTCCCCGTCATGGATTCAAAAGCATCTGATTGGTGTAAGCAGTGGCGGAGGGAGGGAGTTACTAACCTTGGTTAAATCCAAGAGAGAACGGAGAAGTGTGGAGAATCGGGACTTGTTGAGTTGGACCGTAGTGCACTGGTGAGCAGCACCATCTAGTGTTAATGCATTAAAGGCCTTCATGCGTCGCTGTTTGGCTGTGGATGTTCACCAAAACAGTGGAGGGGTACCCACCTTGATGTTGTTTAAATCACAGATTGCCCCTTTAACGTAGACACAGGAAGTCCTCAATTTAAACAATAAATGCATTGTAATATAATTCAAAGTAACGATAAACACTTTCAGTGCTGAAGCCCTATACAGCAGTGGTTCCCAACCTTTTTCAGTTACTGTACCACCAACTGAATTTTGCTCTGCCCGGAGTACCCCTGAAGTACCCCTCATGTGCATTTGATCAGTAAGCCTATGGTCTCATGAGTCTTCTCAAGTATCACCTGTGGATAGGCCAAGTACCCCCAGGGGTCCTAGTACCCCTGGTTGGGAACCACTGCTATACAGGACTGTATAGAATATAGGTATTTATGGTTGAATCACAATGGTCTGTCAAATTAAGACATCTCATGCTGTTTCATAAATTGTTGTATCGTCATTGTATTTCATTTGTATGTATGATTGGCCAGAGCTCCTTTAAAAAGAGATTTGCATCTCAATGGTTACAAATGGATATGGGTGAATAAATAAATAAAATTGACAATAACGATTAACCATTAGAATATCAAAGGCCCCAATTCAATCAAACAAAGACAAAGGCAAAAAGCACTCCTCTCTTTCACTCAATGTTAATACAATTTAGTATTATTTTAGTCATTTCGTGGATACAAAATCTGCAAAGGATGCTTACTCTTGTTTCACCCTCTCTCCTGCAGTTCTGTTTGACAGTGAGGAAGATCATCTGCAGTAGGATGAACGCCTACCTCACAGCCCTGTGTGGAATGGGAACCATGTTGTACCTGGGCTCCCTAACGCTGCTAAACACAGTACCCACCCTGCTCGTCCCCTTCACCATCTGGATGGCATCGTAAAACAAAAATGGCCACCGACATATAGAGACTCATTGACATGACTGCGGAATATGGAATGCTTAAATGATGTCCTACTATCAGTAACACTGTATTATCACTGTACATGAAATCAAAAAAGCATTGTGGGAAATGTCACGTTTGTGGTGATTTTTTTGACAGTTTAAAGAAGAGTAAACATTTTGTACAACTGGTATTTACTGTGTATAACCGTCTATAAATGGACAGCAATATTCTAAAAAAATATTGTTCCTGATAAAGGCATTGTTTTGACAATATATAATGGACATCATGGCCTTTATGGTCAAAATTATACACACAATAATGACATTAGGACAGGATGGACAAGGTGCAATTTGACACTGTTATTGCCATTCTCAGACAAGCTGAATGTACTGAACTAGCTATGTGTCTTTCAAGTGAATTCGTATGCCTACTCTCCCTTGTGAAGCTTTTCAATTAGGCTATCAATTCTCCTCCTGTTGTTGCCCTTACTTATACTCCCAGTAGATAGCACTGTAAGTAACATCACCATGCTTCTGAATGAAATGCATTATTTTGGAATATATTGGGAGACAAGTCTACAGGAAATCTCAGGCTCTGAATATAGAAGTCCCAGAAAATGGTTCGTGCCAGCAGGATCCAGAATTCTTGGCCATTATTATTTGTGGTGGTTTCAGCATGGTTCAAGCATGGTTGAAAGGGTCCCTAATACTGTAGTGATAAGAACCAGTGTTTTCTCAGTCGGAGATATCCTTTCCATCCATTTCAGGCTCCCACTGGCCTACTCAGAAAGAATAACAAACCATTCAATAATTCACTGTAAAAATGTAATTTCAGAAGTAATCTGATGCCAACAGTGCTTGCATTTCTTTTCCTAATATGGCATTTTGGATGGCAAATTGAACTAATGACTGCAGTAAACATAACGCGCATGTAAACATTCGATTTTAAGGATGATTAAACTATCAATTATGAAAGTATTTGCGGAATCAGAGACAAAACAATGAGATTGTATTACATGGGTTAGTGGGTAAATGTATTCTGCTGTTACTGAGGACACTAGACATTCACGTTTAACTGTGCAATACATGTGTTGTTAAGACAGTACTGGGACACACTGTGTGCCCAGAAACACTAATTTAAAGGAGCATTTTACTTAAAAAAACATCATATATTTCCAATTCAAAACGCTTTCTATTCAGTCCACCTATCATGTATTCTCAAATTATATTTATTTAGCACATTCAGTACAAGCTCCGTAGCTATCCTAACTGTGGGCCTGTGATTACTTCCTGTCAAAACACATCATTTTGATGACCCACCAATAGGTGAGCTCTGCAACGTGTATGTGCAAAATAATGATATGTAAGAACATAATAATGGTGAACTGATGAGAAATATCAAGAAGATTTGGGAAATAAACCTTTTTTTGAAGGTGCAATATGCAGAAATTGCTCCGCCATTTTCTGCTTGCGAAAATTCTAATAGTTCAGTTTATGTGACAAAACAAGCAGTGTTGAGAATCATTGTACCATCAAAACCTCTGCTTGTTTTTTTCAATAACCAAAAATATTGTACTTTCAGCTGTTTGAAGCTGGTGTAAAAAAATCAAAGTAAAAGATGCAAAAACAAAACTTAAGAATGGGGAGCATAGAAATAGGGCACATAGAACATATCTTCAGATTCTTAGACTTCCTTTCAATTAGAATGAAAGCTCTATAACTCACATTTCTATGTGAATTTGGTCAGGTTGCAAAAAAAGTTACATATTGCAGCTTTAAATTTCAGTTTTTTAAAACTAAAATGTCATTTTTTTAAACGTAAAATGCCCCTTTAACACTTCCTCTCAAAGATACAGTACACCCCGTCTAAAATGACATGAACCATCGAAATCATCAACGAAAAAGTGTCTTTCCATTTACCTCTTTAGAAATAGCAATACTGTCTTGCTTTTACGGTGCTGAATCATCGAGGGATAATGAAAGAAAAAATGCTAGTGGGTGGTAGTTGGGTGGCCACCTCACTAAAGGAGCCAATGTAATATAATTTCTGTGGAAGATTCTGGACATGTCTACTGGACCCAAATCTCTCTCCCTTACTCCCCTGTCTCTCTCCCTCATACTCTCTCCCCTGTCTCTCTCCCCTGTCTCTCTCCCTGTCACTCTCCCCTGTCTCTCTCCCTGTCTCTCTCCCCTCTGTCTCTCACCCCCGTCTCTCCCTCATACTCTCTCCCTGTCTCTCTCTCCCTGTCTCTCTGCCCTGTCTCTCTCCCGTCTCTCTCCCCTGTCTCTCCCTCATACTCACTCCCTATCTCTATCTCCTGCTTCTGTCTTTCACTCTCCCTCCCTCTCCCTCTCTCCCTCTCCCTCCCTCTCCCCCGTCTCTCTCCCCTGTCACTCTCCCCTCTGTCTCTCACCCCTGTCTCTCCCTCATACTCTCTCCCTGTCTCTCTCTCCCTGTCTCTCTGCCCTGTCTCTCTCCTCCCGTCTCTCTCCCCTGTCTCTCCCTCATACTCACTCCCTATCTCTATCTCCTGCTTCTGTCTTTCACTCTCCCTCCCTCTCCCTCTCCCTCTCCCTCTCCCTCTCCCTCTCTCCCTTTCTCCCTCTCTCCCTCTCTTTCTTCCCTATAACACATCCCAGGCAGATGGCTGTACACTGACTGCAAATTAGAAAATTGCAGTTGGAATAATCAACCCTCTGTCCCGGTGGGGTCTGTGTGGGCCCCTCCATAAGGTAAACAGTGAGGGGTGATATAGCCTACTGGTAATAGTGAGCAACAGAGTGGTCTCATGGTTCAATAACCAAGCAGCGACTCGCTCCTTCAATATGTGGATCATCTGGTGAATTGTTCATGCCAGCAGGATCCAGAGTTCTGAGTATTTTTAACCAAGAAACCTACGGGTAACTGCCAAAATATAAGAAGCACTAACATAAAGTGTCTTAAGAAAGTGCGACACCATTCTTCCATGAGAAATTCCATTATATGGTGTTTTGTTGATGGTGGTGGAAAACACTGTCTCAGGCTTCGCTCCAGAATCGACCCATGGGCTCAATTGGGTTGAGACCTGGTGACAGAAGGCCATGGCATATGGTTTACATCATTTTATGCTCATCAAGCCAATCAGTGACCACTCGTGCCCTGTGGATGGGGGAATGGCATCTTATGGGGGCATAGCCATGGTAGCCAAAATAATGACCTGCCCCACCATTTTTATACATGACCCTAAGCATGATGGGCTGTTAATTGCTTAATTAACTCAGTAACCACACCTGTGTGGAAGCACCTGCTTTCAATATACTTTGTATCCTTCATTTACTCAAGTGTTTCCCATATTTTGGCAGTTACCTGTAGCTAAGACATTAGCAGTCAATTGTAATACAAGTTTTATACGGCAACATCGCTCAATTCTCCCTTGGATAAAAGAAGCAAGGCTAATTAAATCTACCTTCTAATTAGTTTGTTATGAAATCTGATAAATTTTTCAAAGCTTGACTCCATGGAGATTCAAACAACAATGTTTTTTTCCTCTCATTGCACATCATTGCATGTGTGATAGACCGCAGAGTATGTACTATGATTAATTTTTTTGGTATAATGCTGGATGCTAATTTCCTCAAAACAAAAACAATAACAAATGAGCCTGGGGCGGCCAGTGGCTTTGTTTTGCCTATCGCGGATCTCAGCTTTAATCGCATGTGAATCTTTCACAGTCCCAAGGTCTTACCATATACATCTGAGTTTGTTGATGGTCTTCAGAAGTAACTTCACTGGAGTGTGAACAAGTAGGATTTTGTTAGATCCTACTATGTTGATTGCTTGGATTAAGCGCGATATCCCCATAAAATATCTCATCTATTTAAGCCGTTACGTTTCAGAACTCTAGGTGCATTTCAGGACACACAAATCGTCTCTTTTTCGGGCAAAGGAAAACCTAGTTATCACCGTGCAAATGCCTGCTATTTACATTTGGCTGCTAGGCCCGTAAAAGGGTATGCATGACATTACCGCATCTCCATATCAGCTAGAAACCTACAATATTTGTGATATATAATTTGGTATAATACCGTCTTATTATAAACGTGTCTTCCTCCAATCCTCGCCCTAGGTCCAGAAAATCGAGCAGATGTCAACAGTTTCCTCCTTCCTATGGTCTTATTTACCCTACCAAGCAGACTGTTAAAGTGCACTGTGGTACCGATAAAACCTGCCAGATTTACGCCCCCCACAGACCCTCGGTGGAAGCCAGGTAGAGAGCACCGATAATAAGACATCATTACCTCCCCATTATGTCAAGACACGAATCCGGGAGAGAGGCACACATGCTATTGATTTAGTGGTTCTGTGGATCATGCCTACAATTTACTGGAACCATTTGGAGGGAGGGCAGTGCGGTAACAACCTCTGCTGAGTTAGAGTGGAAATCCTGGGGCCTTGCCACGAGCACATTGCCCTTCTTGTTATGTAGTCTTGATACTGTGTGTCTTCCATTCATTAGAGCCACTGAGGAGAGAGTGGAGACTGGAGTCTCTTCTGAAATACAAGGCCAATTGTCATTGGGCATGATCTGAGATTCTTCTGTTTCTCTTATATGACTGGAAACACTATGGCAGCTTTAAGGAAGAAAACTAGGTTTCATTTAAGAGTTGATTCTAGGGAGCTGTCCTCAAGCAGCCTCCTGAACCATTACAGATGAATGAGGTGTCAGGCCCCATGCTGTGTAGCCGGGTGAGGACAGAGGAGAAGATTATGAAAGGAATCCCATCACGGCATCACTCCCAATTCAATAGACGATATTGTAGAAAGGTGATTTCTGTTCCGTATCACAGTTGCGTGTTGTGCTTTCGACCATATGCCTCTGGTGATCTCAATGCTCTTGGCACATCATTTTAAACCAAAGACAAGGTAAGATTAAGTTTAAAACACATTGACCTGCTTTGAACTATCTATCTGGCCAATGATATTCAAATAAATGTCTGTCAGAGATGTTGTATTCACCTAATATCATACACAAGACAATATGGCTTCCATCTAACATGGACGAGTACATGATAAATACCCATCTGGCAAAAATGGAGTCAAACACCTGCTTGTAAATGTCAACATTTACAAGCAGAAATGTGGTTAAAATATGCAAAGCAGTCAGGTTGCCTTCATTTGACCTGTGGCTAATGCAAAGCTGCTAGTAATTAAACGTGAATATGGTAATGTCAATTGATGTGAAGGGCAAACATTTTCATCGCATTAAGCTAATAATTACATTCTCCAGTTGACATGTCCCATATAAAAAAATACATGTAGATACATAGCTCAAGTGTATATAACACCTGACAATATTCCAGAAATGCATGGCTATGACATTTAGACTGCAGGGTGGCCAATGGTTCCTAATTCGGCTTCTTAAATTACAATTTCTGTATTGTTGTGACGAGTACTGAGTATACGAAGAGGCAATCAACAAGGTCAAGGTTTACTTAATAATGAGAAAGAGAATAACAAAGAGAGCGTACACGACGCTAAACAATCACACACAACAATGACTGAACAGTCCAGGGCTAAATAGGGGTGGTGATGAGATGATGAGGTGCAGGTGCGCTGGAGGTGATTAGGGTGCGTTGGGTTTCCATTCCGGTGTTGCTGAGGTGGTGCGCTCAGACCGGTGGCTCAGTAGACCAGCGAATCAGAGCGCCGGATGGGAGCAACGGGAGGAGACGTGACAATTGTTCAATGGAGACAAAATTTTTTGCCCCAAGACAAAGATTTGGCAATGATATCATTTAATTGTGATGGTGAGTAAAAACCCTAACCCTAACCTTTAACTTTCTGTCATAAAGAGCACATGTTCAACTTCATAACAAACATGTTTTCCGATCACAAAATGACTCTCTTCAGCTTAATTAAATAATGAGGAAAAAAATGACATCGTGCACTAGGATGGTTTTATTATTTATTTTAGTTCGTATCGATTTAAACAAAAACT